GTCCTCCGCGGCTTTGCTCCGCGTCTCCCTGGTCTGCTGGGGGGGCTCCCCCAGCAGACCAGGCCGACGCGGAGCAGCTTTTCTCGCCACGGAGGACGCGGGCGGCAGGACCACCGCGGCGCATCTCGGTGGTCTGCTGGGGGGGGGCCCAGCTAGTGCGGGGTTCCCTCACCCCGTTCGTAAGTAGAGATCCAACGTAAGTCGGATCCACGTAACCCGGGGACTGTCTGTACTGTAATTTTAAAGAAACAGTTCTCTGATGGCATATTTTGTACCATTTTAAAAAGGTCTACACTCCCACTGTATTGCCAAAGGCCCTGACCCTGCAAAGAAATTTGTTGTACTTCACTATCTTGTTATTCCTAAAATATTACAAAAAATCATAGTCGGAAACTCACAGCTTGGCTTCTTCTCCATAAACTGTCTCTTACAGTAAATAACACAAAGGATGAGAAGAGCTAAGAGCACTGTGGCCAGTGCACTGCATATAACAGCTGCTAGAGCAGTATCCCGAGGACTGGAAGCAGTTGATGGGATCTTCACAAGGTTCACTTTATTAGTACCTAAAATATAATGAAGTACATAGGTAAGGCACATTATGTGAAGCTTAGGTAAATGAAAAATCCAAGAAATATAATTCTAACAGGCTCTTAGCACAGAAAAAAAGGGCTCTCCATTTGCTAATTTATCAACAGCGAAGTTGTATAACTAATATTAATATAGCTTATCCTCAGTTTTGTTATTTAGTCTCAATTATGCTGCGAGGTGCAGACACTTATAAAATAGCACAATCTGTTAAATGGCCATATAGTGAATTGTGACTACATACAAATGGAGAGAAGAGAGAATAGAATCCTTTAGGTAGTTCAAACAATCAAAACATATTTCTTTTAAAATACATTTTTCTAGATCAAGGCCTTCTCTACACTTAAAAATTAGGTCAATATAGCTACAGTTCTCAGGAGTGTGAGTTTTTCACATCCCTGAACATCACAGCTATCTCAACCTAATTCCCAGAAATAAATATGGCTAGTTTGATGGAAAAATGCTTTTTTAGATGACCAAGCTACCGCTGCCTGAGAAGGTGGATTATCTAACTTCTATCACTATAGGAAGTATATACACAGCATATCTATTACACCATAGGGCTATGTCTACACTCGCGGCTTCTTGTGCAAGTATGGCTGTTCTTGCGCAAAAATCTGCAGAGCATCCACACTGCCCACCCGCTCTTGCGCAAGGAAATTTATAGTAGGGCGTGGTAAGAGAGGGTTTCTTGCGCAAGAGCTACGCTCTTTTTTAACAGGTATAAGCCCTCTTGCGCAGGAGCTCTTGCACAAGAGGGCAGTGTGGATGCTCGGCAGGGATTTCTTGTGCAAGAAAGCCCTATTGCTAAAATGGCCATGAGAGCTTTCTTGCGCAAGAGAGCATCTATACTGCCATGGGCGCTCTTGCACATCCATGGCAGCGTAGACGTTTTCTTGCGCAAGACTTCTTGCACAAGAACCCTTGCACAAGATGTTCTTGCGCAAGAAGCCGCGAGTGTAGACATAGCCTAGCTGTGCTGCTATAGCACATAGACATGGCCTGAATACATCATTACCAATGTACACATCAACAGGGTATCTGGGCACCAAGTTTTTTTTTAAAAAGAACCTCAGACCCTCTTAGACATGTCACAGTAACATTATTCCCCACAAAACAAATAGGCATTACTATTAAACATTATGCTCATTCTAAGTGCAAGTCTGCAGAGAACATGCTTTTTGACTAACAAAACATTGAACTCTAGACAAATTCCTTAAGGAGTCACCAATTTCTTGGGGCTTCAGGATGCTTGTAGTGGGTGCCGTGCCAGGTAAGGAGAAAGGATTTGGCCAGAGAAAGGAGTCAGGTCAAGACTCGTGGAACAGTGGCAAGGCTCTTAGTGAAAGATTAGCTATTCATTTCCAGACTTTCAATGGTTTTCACACAATTACAATATTCTAGTAGGCCTTGTGGATGCATTAAGACCTGCTAGTATGGAACTATGTACCTATGCAAAGACTTGCTGAAGTAAGTGGGACTCTGCAGATGAACAGGGTCTATACTAGGGGATCCCTATGAACAGGGCTTGACAATTTAGGTAATGTACTCGCCACAGGCAAGTAGATTATAGTCGAAGAGCCGGGTTCAGGCGATCTGTGCATGCGCAGAATGATCTGCGCATACGCAGAGCGCAGAACCGCGCAGCTGGCGAGCCCTGCCTATGAAAACTAGGGTATAATCCAGAAGTGTGGGTCTCATACCACCATATATTGCCAAATAATAAGTTTTTTTTTTAAAGTCTGTTAACACTTTAAAGATTATCAAAATAGGTAGACGGTAACATAAGCTTTCGTGGGCATAGCCCACTTCTTCAGATGACCAGAGTGTTGGATGTCCAGAACCAAGATAAATGAGGGAAGAAGGGGGGCGGGGGAAGAAGGAAAAAATAGGAGGGGAGGGACAGAAAGAGGTAGAGGGTAGATAAGTATCAACGAGAAAGCCAAGAATGTATGTAACTGGAATTACTGGAAAACAACAGTCTATTAGCACCTAAAAACTAGATAGTTACAAGAGGCAGATAAGAACCATTAGTTAGCAATGGAGAGGAAGAGAACTTATACCAGACAAGAGCAGACACAAAGAACCATTGTAATAGAAATGTAGCCGTGTTAGTCTGGTCCAGCTGAAACAAAAAACAGGATTATGTAGCACTTTAAAGACTAACAAGATGGTTTATTAGGTGATGAGCTTTCGTGGGCCAGACTTTAACTTTCAGTCCTTTGGGTACAATGTCCATCTTTTTGCACTTGGATAGAAAGATGATGTCTGTCTGTATCTGTGCAGCAAGTTTTTTCTTATGGTTGATGGATTTCCATTCCAAACGGCTAAATGTAGTGCCTTAGCCATCTGGAATGGAAATCCATCAACCATAAGAAAAAACTTGCTGCACAGATACAGACAGACATCATCTTTCTATCCAAGTGCAAAAAGATGGACATCGTACCCAAAGGACTGAAAACAAAGAACCATTGGCACCTTCATTGTTCACAGGCATGGAGCTCTACAGCTCTGAGTGGCTGCATTCTGCCGTTCCCCGCCAATGGGAGCTGAGGGAGGAATGACCTGGCCTACGCCACTTCCCATAGGTCTCATTGGCCACAAACTGCACGGGAGCTGTGAGCGGCCTTGTCTGCAGACACTCAGGTAAACAAAGCATCTGGTGGCCTGCTAATAGCTAACCTTGACAAACTGCCTATGGCTGGCATGCTGGAAGTTCCCCATGCCTACTATAAGTGGAAATTTCCACTTTATTTGTCCATTCAATATCTGGTTTAAGTGAGTACTAATAACTTTAGATTGAAAAGAATTCAGTTTTAAAAAGCTTATAACAAGAGTTTGCTCATTTAAAGTGGAGCAAACAAAACAAACAATACTTCTGAAAACTCTCCTGCCCTAATGTCCACAAACAGAAAAAACACAGAAATGATGAGACATTACAAGTACTATACACATAGTTCTTCAGGCTATGTCCTGACTGCAGACTTCTTTCAGAAGAAGTTTTTCCAGAACAGAGCATCCACACTGCCAAAGCGCATCGAAAGAGTGATCTGCTTTTTCAAAAGATAGTGTCCACACTGATTGGACGCTATCTCGCATATAAGGCCACCAAGAACCAGTTCAGCCAGGACACTAGTTGCTTCCGAGTGCTGGTGTCAAAGCCTAGCTGAGACATGCTCTTAAAGGGACCCCTCTGGACAGCCGTTTCTCTGCTTCTGCTGCGTTCTTGCCTACCTCTTTGCCCTCTTGGGGCATGTCTAGACTTCTTGGCTCCGTCAACAGAGCCATGTAGATGAGGGTTGTAGGCAAAGGAAAATGAAGCGGCGATTTAAATAATTGCCGCTTCATTTAAATTAAAATGGCTGCCGTGCTGTGCCCATCAGCTGTTTGGCGGCACAGTGCTATAGTCTGGACACTCCGCCGTCGACATCAAAGGCATTTGTTGACCTCCCCAGTAAACCTTACTGACATTTGTGTCAGGTGATCGGGCAGAGCACACGACGCCCATGTATTTCAAAACTCCAGCCTCTACAGGAAGCTGGAGGCTGGCACATTCTTCCCCCAGCATGAATTTGCAGTGGGAGACATGCAGATGCCACTGTACATCATGGGAGACACAGCCTATCCCTTGATGCCATGGTTGATGAAGCCATACACCGACCAGCTGGACCCTAGCAGGGACCAATTTAACTCCCATTACAGCCAGGCGAGGATTCAGGTGGAGTGCACCTTTGGCTGCCTCAAGGCACAGTTCAAATGCTGCCTGACTCGCCTCGACATGGGGGAGCACAACTTCCCCGAGGTGGTCATGGCATGTTATGTCCTCCACAACATTGTGGAGAGGAAGGGGGAGGCCTTCCTCATGGGTTGGGGGGCAGAGGCCGGCCGTGAAGGGAGACCCTTTAAGCAGCCATGGACAGCTGACATCCGCCAGTCCCATCAATTGGGGGTGCGCATCTGGGAGGCCCAGAGTGAGAGTTTCTCTCTAGGACCCCAGTAACTCGCCCCAGAGCCTCCCCACTAGGGGACTCTTGCTCCAATATCCCTTTGCCGGGGAGACCCTTTAAGCAGCCATGGACAGCTGACATCCGCCAGTCCCATCAATTGGGGGTGCGCATCTGGGAGGCCCAGAGTGAGAGTTTCTCTCTAGGACCCCAGTAACTCGCCCCAGAGCCTCCCCACTAGGGGACTCTTGCTCCAATATCCCTTTGCCGCCACAACCCCTCCCTTCCCTCCTTCCCTGAATTCAGAATAAAGACACCTGTTTGGATTTTAACAGAACAAGCTTTGTATTACTCTTTCATTTAAAAAAGCTGGAGAGGGGGAGGGTGCTCGTAATCTGGAGGGGGAGGCAGCTCATAACCTGGAGGGGGAGGGAGGCTCATTACCTGGAGGGGGGCTCAAGGCTGGGAGTGGTGTTGGGGGTGGCTGGATGTGCCACCTCGGGTGCGTGGACCTCATTGAACTTGGGTTTGGGTGGGTCCTGGGACCATAGGGGAGTGGTCAGGAGGGGGAGCTGCAGCGGGATTAGGGATGGCAGGGACAGGGGCATCACTTGGGGAGGGGGCATGGGCATCGCTTGGGCGGGGGTAAGGGGAAGGGGAATGGGCATAGCAATGGGGTGGTAGGCAGGAGCAGCGATAGTAGCCGGGTGTGCCATCATTTCCTGCATGATGGCACCCATGTTATCACCCTGCTGCACGAATTGGGCCCACATGCGGGACCGCTAGTCTGCATTCTCCCGGACCTTCTGTGCCAGGGTCTGCTGCATGTCACGCAGGATGCCCATATGATGCCTCATCAGTTCTTCCTGGACCCTGGAGCGCTTTCAGATCCCCAGGGTTGGCTGGCTGGCTCAGGTGGCATGGCTCGCCTCTCAGTGCTGGCTGGTTCAGTTGGGGAGAATACAAAGAGGGAGAGGCAACCAGTCATCCATGCAGACACTGCTCCTGAGGCCGTGCCCTCCTCTGGGTATGTC